CACCAAATTAGATCAATGAAAAGGTCTAAATCTAATTCACTCAGTGCTTTTCATGTGGGTTATATTTCGTATTTCTACGCAGTCTCTGTTGCTATTTCTTTACCTTTGTCAACTCTTAAATTCTAGAATTATACCGATTGAAATTGCAGGGTATTATTTATTTGAGAGGTATAAGTAAGCAGCCACGATCAATTAATTATACTGTTTTATTTGTTATGCCCCACCTGCGATAGTAGAGGGGCGTTATGTTTTCTGGTCTGAGCGTCCGTTCGTCTGTTCGTTCGTCCGTCTGTCCCGTTTCAGGTTGAAGTTTTAAGTTAAGGTAGTTTTTGATGAAGTTGAAGTCCAATCAACTTAAAACACATGTTCCTTATGATATGATAATTCTAATTTAATTACCAAATTAGATTTTTCAACAATTTTACTTTATAGTCCACTGAACATAGAAAATGATAGTGCGAGTGGGGCATACATGTCACTATGGACACATTCTTGTTTTAAATCATTATTAAACTGCTGAAGTTTTAGAAATATGCCTGTTCATATCGCAAACTACTATTTTGGTTAGTAGCATATCTATGCAGTCTCTTTATTCATGGCCCTTTACAGCTTGCTATTCCCTGCGAGTCAAGACTCCGTGTTTAAGGAAGTACTTTGACCTATAATGCTTTACCTTTACAAATTATGAACTGCATGGATAGAGAGTTGTCTCATTGGCAATCATACCAAATCGTCTTATATCTATATATCTGTTGTAAATACCTAACAAACGTAATTTTTTTTTAAATCATTTTCATATATATATTATTTACACCTCAATGTTATTTTGACCGGAGTAAATTTGGTTTGACAAACAAACATTCCCTAATAAAACACGCGGACGTGACAGAAGACACCATAATATAGCGTCAACAGTAAATAATGGATCTAAATCGTTGGTAAACGTTTTTTTAATCATAACTTGATATGAAATGAGTCCGGACATATTTGTTGTTTTTTTATACTAGTAATTCACCATTTAAGTACATAGCACTCTCAGTGTCGTCTACTAGAAGAAAGAAAGTATTTTATTCACTGTGTCTAAACTACCCCGGCAAAAAATGTTTGGACTCGATAGTATCTAATGTCCGGTACGGTGACGGACAATCAACAGACAGAGAAAAGGTAGAAATTCTGTTTATTTATTTGTTTTTTAATGATATTGAAGAATAAACATACACATATAACTATTTTCGATTGTGTGATGTAATATTTTCTACAACCGTTCTAGATTAATGGAGAAATAAGTAAAAAGGCACATGAAAATGGTGAATTGAGTGAATCTTGCTACGAATTTGTTTAATTTCTTTTTAAATTGTGCACATTTTACGGAAAGAAAAGTACGGAAAGAAAGATATTAACACAGAGATTGCATGGCTAGTCACTATGAGCACCTCAATATTTGCATTTCTGTGCATGGAACGAAAGAAATGGGTCATGTCAAAATGGAAGGACCCTGTTTCGTCAATGTTGTTTATTACACAAGGACCCTGTTTTGTCTCAGTATAGGACCCGGTTTTGTTTTGTTTTGAAACCACAAATTTATGAAAAGCTACGTTAGCACGGATCAGGACATTGCCAATTGGAAGAAATTAAATATTTGAGTCAAAAAGATGTTATAAAGATGTTATTGCAATACAAACATGTGTTAAAATATATTTCAAACGGGAACTTTTCGAAATAGGGAGTAGACATTTTTGAATGCTATACGTATACCTTATTGATCTTATCTTCGAACTAAGTTTAAATGGAAATAAATACTTTATATCATGTACTTACATTAATTCCTTATGATAGAAAAAAGAAGATGTGGTGTGATTGCCAATGAGACAACTCGTCACAAGAGATCAAATGACACAGAAATTAACAACTATAAGTCGCCGTACGGCCTTCAACATTGAACAAAGCTCATACAACATAGTCAGCTATAAAAGGCCCCGAAATGACAAGTGTAAAACAATTCAAACGAGGAAACTAACGGCCTAATTTATGTACAAAAAAATTAACGAAAAACAAATATGTAACACAACAACAAACGACAACCACTGAAATACAGGCTCCTGGCTTGGGACAGGTAAATATATACAGAATGTGGCGGGGTTAAACATCTTAGCGGGATCCCAACCCTCCCCCTAACCTAAGAATTTGGTGTAACATGCATGCAGTAAAACATAAGAACGAACTATAAAAATCAGTTGAAAAAGGCTTAAGTCATCAGATGGATACAAATAGAAATACATCTCACAAATGTTTGTTTGTTTTCTATACTACTGTAATGATGTAAAAATAAGATGTGGAATGATTGTGTTACCATATCAATTTATCAAAAGAGTAAGGATAGTATGCTCTACTACACTATACGCTATGTTTACAATATATTTACTCATTCGTTCATCCATTGACGGACAGTGAGAGAAAAAGCTCCGTTTTGAAGGCCGTACTTTGACCTATAATGGTTTACTTTTACAAATTGTGACTTGGATGGAGAGTTGTCTCATTGGCACTCATACCACATCTTCTTATATCTATTAGAACGTTTTGGATATCTCAATCAAAATGGTTGCCTTTCGAACGTGTATTTTATGTCCGCTTCGAAATACACATGTTCTAAACTTCCCCATTAGAAACAAAATAATTCTATCATGCCATGCTCTACGCTCATTTTAACATAGGTAAAGTTGGTTTGCAACATTATAACGTCCAATATCTTCGTCTTCGTCTTCGTAGAACAACCTAATTGGCAATTTAGCCCGTGAAAAATGACAATGAGACAGCTTTCCATCAGAGACCAAATGACGTAAAAGTTAACAAATATAGAACACCGTATGGCATCCAACAATGAGAAACGTCCATACGGCATAGCAAGCTAAAAAAAAAGGCCCTGAAATGAAAACTGTAAAAAAAAACTAATGTGGAAACTAGCGACCTAGATTTAAGTACAAAATAAGAAACGAAAAACAAATACATGTATGATATATAGCAACAAAAGACAACAAACGATTTACAGGCTCCTGAATTCGGTACTAGTACATACAGAATTGCGAGGTTGAACGTGTAAGCCCCCCCCCCACGCTCCCCCTCCAAAAAAAAAAAGAAAAAAAAAAGTGGTATAACAGCACAATATATGAACAAACTATAAAATTCAGTGAGTTGAAAAAGGCTTAACTCATTTGACTACAGAGCCCCTATAGTAAATATGCGATTGGTGGCTGTCTCTGTTTTTTCGTCTTTTATTAAATTTTATGATGGTATACTATAATGTTACATTATATCAGTGGCGGATCCAGGGGAGTGGAGGGAGTACGCCGACCCCTCCCGCCCTTTTGGTGGCTAGAAATAATTATTTTATCATGTTTTTTACGATTTATATATGATTTTTTATTAAGCATAAAATCGTTAAAAAAAATTTCCCCTTGCTACGCTCGGCGGTATAAAATCCGTTTATGAATACGCCCCTTTCAAAAATCATGGCCTCGGTCCGCCCTTGCATATTGACAATTTTAAACTTGACCAAATTGCTTAACTTGTAGAACATTTGTCAATGTACGATAATCATTATACAATGAAGAGATAAACCTATATATAATAGTTGTACTATATAGGGCAGTTGTAAACAACTTGATACTAGTGCATTAAAGAATTTGTTAATGTTAAAAAAAAAAGAAGAAAAAAGAGAGAGAGATAAACATCGTTTATTTATAAAAATTACTAATCAAATAATCATTATTGCAATTTCCGGATGGCCTAAGACTTTTATACTAATTTATACTTAGTATTATTGTAACAAGGAGGGGTAAACAGTTTTTTATCGCACTATTATTGTGATCCTTTGCGCCGCCTGGAAATTCCTTTTCTTGGGCGATTCTGCATGCACATACATTTGTCTTATTCTCTTGCTTTATAATGAACGTTTAGTTTCAGAATATTTATTTTCAAACGATTATACTGTCTTCCCTTTAAGTAGAGCGGAACACTAAGATAACCATCTTGTCCCAGAAAATCACATATCAAATGTGCGTCCTTAAATTTTCAAGGCCGTACACTAATTAAGTTTGAACACTTAAATTTACATAGATGATATAAAAAAATCTAATTCCGTTTCAAAACCTTCATTTCTTTTTAATTTTTCCTTTTTTTTATACAAAAAAAAATTGAAATTTGCTTTGTTCTAATATAGCAGAAATTCAAGTGTTTACGGATGCAAAAAGGTTATTAGTTATCCTCTGAAAGAAAATGTTTTTTAACGATCCCTCAAACTGCTGTTGAACGCCATATTTCAATTTTCGTCATGCGATTATGCATTATTTTCTATGACAAAACAGGGTCTGCTTTGTGAAATTTAAGAACAAAACCGGGTCGTACACATTGACAAAACCGGGTGCTTCGATTTTGACATGACCCACTTCTTTCATTCCATGCACAGACATGCAAATATTGAGGCGATCATAGTGAAAAGTCTTGAAATCTCCGTGTTAATATCTTTCTTTCCGTACCTTTCTTTCCGTACAATGTGCTCAATTAAAAGAGAAATTAAACAAATTCGAGGCAGGGTTCACTCAATTCACCATTTTGATGTGCATTTTTACTTATTTCTCCATAAATCTAGAACGGTGGTAGAAAATATTACATCACACAATCGAAAATAGTTATATGTGTATGTATATTCTTCAATATCATTAAAACAACATATAAATAAACAGAATTTCTACATTTCTCTGTCTGTTGATTGTCCGTCACCGTACCGGACATTAGATACTATTGAGTCCAAACATTTTTCGCCGGGGTAGTTTAGATACAGTGTTATTGCTGAAAGACATAATCTTCCAAGTTCCGTCTTATGTTTATCTGACGGAAGATACACTTTAATTTACAAGCCTTTATTAATCTATGTCTCCATATAATAAAGGAGATATTTGTGGAAGAGTTTATTTTATATTAGAGCACAGGACTTGTATACTTACTTCATTTTGGCATCACAAATGGCTTGCACATTCAAGCTGTGAAAATTTTTCCTACATACAAAAATCTGCTCGTCCTCACTCGGTCTAATTATTGGTATCAACGTACCGTCAACTGCACCAACAACATTCGGCATACCAGACATTGTATAAAAGTCATGCTTGATTTCTCTCAAAGAAGGTTGGTCAACAGGGAATTTTATTTTGTGTAGAAGAGTTGTAACAAGAGAAAGTGTAACAGATGATATAATGCTGCTAACCGAAGAACGACTTATGCCATGGATATCTCCTATCTCAGACAGGAACCCCCCCTTTGCATAGTACCTTAAAGTTGTCAAAACTTTATGCAAAGGGGGGATGGCAAAGTTTCTCAGTGTCGGCCTTTCTAAGTGAGGGGCAAGCACATCTACCAATTCAAAAATACTTTGTCTGTCTAAACGATATCTTGAAATTATTTCTATGTCATTCAGATTGTCCATAATGTTAGTTCTATCTCTAAATACTCTTTCCCTGCGCAGTGCCCTGCGTTCATTGTGTCTAAAAATTAATAAGGCGACGGCCATCTTTGACGCTGCGATTAATCTGCGATAGGTTCAAGTACACGCTAATAACGTTCGCGATTTGCACGCAATGTACGACCATCGCAAAGTACGATTGTTTTATGAAACGGAATTTTAGCGTTACGTTTGGTTAACGATCAAACGTACGCTAACGATTGCTTTATGAAACGGCAGCCGGGCGTTTTCTGGCTGCCGTTTCATAAAACAATCGCTAATAACGACAAACGTAGATTTTAGCGTGTAACTAACGACTACATAACGATTACGTTTACGTGCGTTTCATAAAGCATACGTAGACGAATCGTTAGATTTTTCGATCGTTAGACAATCGCTATTTATTTTTAGAACGGGAATCCCCGGATATCGCGCTCTTTGTCGTTGGAGAAAAATATGCTAGCTAGGACTATTATACTAACGGGACTGGAAACTGATCGATCTGTTGAGATTTCATTGCACCGATAGCGGATTATTGATTTTTTTGTTTGATTGACAGCTTATATATCGTGTCACGTAGTAAATGAGCATTCGGTACATAAATGTAAACAATAGATTTCGGCAAACAAGTCAGCATATATATAATACTGTTAAAATTGGTGGATTTGAAATAAAAAAATAATTATCAAATTAACTAGTTTAAATGCAAAATATATATATTGTTTACGAAGTAGTCAATATATTAGTGTTGAAAATAAACAAGATATAGTCGAAATGCCGGCGCTTTTACTTGACCGCTAAGAAAACAACATGTCAAAGGTTAACAGATCATAATTAATCCTGATAAAAACAATAAGTGTGCAATAAAAACAATGTTTACAATTTCAGTTCATAATTAATTCATATTACAAAAGTTAGTTTAATAGTCCCAGATGCTAGTAAACGACTGAGAGTAAAAAAAAAGACTCCAAGTACAAGAAATCCCAATTTTAAATGTTTCCTCCAACGAGGTAGACTTAATAAAATTGTTTCCTATTTATTAAAGAATAATTCATGCAAGTCCTAGATTAGTTGGACATTTTCACATGACACACGATTTATTTTTGCGTAGGCTACGCGTACATTTGTACCCGCAACCGATTTTATAATAAACTGTCATATGATCGGGAATAAAACGTGAAAGATACACGAAAAATATCGGCTATTTCCTGACTTTGTGAATTCAGTGAAGATAATGGCAAATAATATTTTTTTAATTTGTATTATTAGTTATAAAAACCGAAATTAAATGTAAATGCACATTAAAAGAATAAAATTATACAGCATATGAATAAATATATGTAAAAAAAACTCGAGTGAAATATTATTTGTTATATTTGTTTCGCGATCATTACAAGTAATATTTAAAACAGTCACATTGTGTTCCTGTAATATAAATCTATACTACTCAAGGAAGAGATCGATTTCATTGAGCAGCAACTCCTCTGAAACCATACAAAGTCGGAAATATTTGTGATATGACGTATACATGTAGTGTTTTGTAGTACTTATTTTTCTTTGAAACAATCTTTTTTCTACAGGAAACGACAATTTTATTTAGTAAATTTCAAAATTCGAAGATCTTTATCAATCCGTGTCTTATACGCTTTCGTGTATGCTCAGTCGGCGTACTACCCGCGAAAATTGATTTTTGTTTTGTTTCAACTCTTGCCTCATTGTACTGCGATTTCGCGGGCATCTTCTACAATGTAGTAATATAGAATGCTGTCAGGATCAGTAAACTATGTTTTTATAAAAATTTAATACTTAACTGAACAGTACGTCAATTAGTCTTCGGCGAAAATTTTAGGATGGTCTATCTGCCAACCTCGCGATGCAGCGATTAACTTCCGGAATCAATCATACGGCGGTTATACCCCGTGGGCATGATAGAACTATTTACATATGTAACAATAAAATGTATTTAATATGGCCATATATTCTTGCAATCACGTATTTGCTAATTTGTAACAACAATTTGAAAAAAATTCAAACATAATTTAAGGTGACTCGAATGTTGCAGATACTGGAATTTTGACTCGAACTCGAAGTTTAACTTGGAAAGTAACTCGAAATATAACTTGAAGATCTTCTAGATCTTGAACTCGAACTATAATTGATTGTAATTAAGCCACATGCAATTTACCACCTCGCAACTCCTAGAATGTGTGTTCCAGATATAATACACGCAAAGAATTTTGAATACCACAAAAGGAATTGATAGGATTAAGTTTTATTCATGTTTGATAAAACATGAGGTGTGCATGTTCATGTTAGAACCTATAATTATGAGATATCAATCTTGACCCCGAAATTTACTAGGCCGACATATATGGACCTACCAATCTTTACTAACACCCCCACATGCTGCATACTAATAGAGGAAACAGCAAATACCAACTTTCTTCTTTGGTTTCAACTTGCTGAGAATCGAATCCACGGCGATTCAAATATGAGTAAATATTTTATTTATTTCATGGCAGTGCTTAGGTTTCGGGATACAAGCAAAAAACCGCCCCCCCCCCCTTTATGTTTAATTTTTGGCAATGGTGGCAATTCTTTTATGTATGAAATCCCCGGATAGAATGTATAAACTAGACACAACTATAAAGAACATCAAGTTAAAGTTGGATGTATTTGGAACAGTTATTTCAGAGGAGAAGAATTTTAAAATAATTTACGACGACGGACGTCAAGTGATGACATAGGCGAACATGGCCCTATTTTAGACTGTATGTGAAATGTTAAAGCTGCAAAAAAACAAGTACTAAATATCTTTTCGATCTTGACTATTTTTGACATATCAATTTTCAGAATAATTTGATGATTACTGAGTGATATTAAAGTCTGGGGACACGTGACTTTATAAGTTATAATTGGTGTAAGACTAGTTTCAGTAACTGTCAATCGGTACTTTATCTTTTTGATCGTTGGTTTTGTATGCCTTGTTGAGTTGAACCATTTTCAATATATATTTATAATTCATTCTTATGTTGTACTGTTTTGTAACTTTTTTTTCATGCATACTCTAGCCAAAATCATGACTCTGCACCCAATCGACATTACATATCCAAGTGATAATACAGTCGAAAGTTGTTTACCGACAAGTGTCCGTACAGTGAAAAATATTTAGTGACAAGTGTTTTTAAAGATTTAGAACTATTTGTGAGTGTAAACATATTGAAGTTAAATTTGAGGAAAAACTATATATTAATTCTTTTTAAACACCTTAAAAATTTTGAAAACAATTCTTTTATTAAAAGCCAAAACTTCAGCTGAACGAACACAACTATTTCCATAATTTGGGTCGGAGCTCTTAGTTTTATTTCAATTCCCCCCCTGTTTTCTTGCTTTAAGAATGGGTTCGGCACCCCTCAATGTTTGAATATTAATGACAGATACAAAAGTTTTCTCATATACATAACAAGTAAGCCCCAGAGATAATAATGGAAAAAAAACACGTATCCGAAAATTATTTCAAATGTTGGAGCCCCGCTTGACAGTCTCCCGAATGACCACAATATCAAAAAAAAAAACATACAGTTGCGTTCCCACATTGTGTTTATTAAATAGAGAACATAAACATTTAAATTTTTAATACCTTTTTAATCACATCGATGGCTTTAATGAGGGTAGCGATGCACTTTTCCGTCAGGCGCCTAACGGTCATTTTCGGCTTACGTCGCGTTAGCGACTAAATGGTTAAAGTTTTATCGTGATTCGTCAATATATCCTTATCGTACGGTGGCAGAATGCTGCCATGTAAGAAAAAAAAACTGTTCCCTCAAGATACTTTGTCGTTCCCTCAAGATGCTATGCCGTTCCCACAAGAAAGTTTTATCGTTCTCTCAAGATATTATGTCGTTACCACAAGATAGTTATCTCGTTCCCTTAAGATGCTATGTCGTTCCCTGAATATGCTATGCCGTTCCCACAAGAAAGTGTTATCGTTCTCTCAAGATATTATGTCGTTACCACAAGATAGTTATCTCGTTCCCTTAAGATGTTATGTCGTTCCCTCAAGATGCTATGCCGTTCCTACAAGAAAGTTTTATCGTTCTCTCAAGATATTATATCGTTTTCACAAGATAGTTATCTCGTTCCCTCAAGATGTTTTGTCGTTTCCATGAGATAGATATCTCGTTCCCTCATGATGATATGTCGTTCCCTCAAGATATTATGTCGTTCCTTCAGGATATTATGTCGTTCTCACAAGATAGTTATCTCGTTCCCTCAGGATGCTATATGCCGTGTCCACAAGATAGTTATCTCTTTCTTTCATAGCCGCATATTGCCACCGTATTCTCGAGATTCAGAGATCTCAAATAATTATTTGTTACCGTTACTTTTTGAGAAAAAAAATTGTCAAAAGCAGTCGATTTTTTTTATCGTCATTAAGAAAATGGTCATGCATCGAAAATTACAGTTAATGTCATTTGACAACAATATTTTTTACCGTTATTCGTAATGAAGGTATCCCCATTACGACCCTCTTTTACATGGCTTTCGCCGGCTGAATAATGTTTTCACAATTTTTTAGTTCCATTTTCACAATGAAGCGAGAGAAATTTTACTAATTAGAAAGATGTACAAATGTATACTATATCATTTGAGCTTTACTTGGCTGTTGATGGAGACCTTACATTTCAGCAAAATAGATATAAGAAGATGTGGTATGAGTGCCAATGAGACAACTCTCTTGTAGATATGTATACATTTTTTAGTCTCTACAATCTTATGTCAGAATTACACAACGATTCAAAACATGCAATTAAAATGATCAATTCTTAATTTCTCTCATTCCAATCCAGACCAGTCTTATATTCCAATCCAGACCAGTCTTATCATTTTACATGTACATATTTCCACCCTTATTGTCAAGCCTGCGAAATTTATTTATAAAGCGGGACATACCGATAATAGATTACGTCGTCGGCGTCGGGGTCAACATTTCGGTACAGTCTGTGGACCCTCTGAGGTTAAAGTTTGTTTGAGTCATCAATAACTTTGTCAACCCTTCGTATAATTTCATGAAATTGGACAGAAGGTTGTTAATGACCAAAAGACAGTATCCATCTAAGAATTTTTTTGTTTAATTCTGTAGTTTACTGATAAATGGACTAATTTTTTAGTTAACATTACACTTTTACGCTGACAGCAGCATAAAACCGCGAGACAAAGGGTTCCGAACTTTT